TTTTTTTTTTTTTTTGTACTTTAATAATCGATAGGTGAATTATTCCGCTTTAATTACTAATTCAGGGTGCAAATGCGTCGTCACAGCTAGAAAAAGAATTAAGCACTGATCATATTTTAAGCAGCGAAAGATTTTTTGGTCTTGTAAATGTAAGTTTCTCAATAATCATTTATTTTTACATTATTTCGTTGGAATTTTTCTGGTTACTTAATTCTTGCATATGTTCTGTAATCAGCTGTTAAGGAGTGAGTTTTATTTGTTTCAGTTTGGTAACACATGCTATTGTAATTCTGTCATACAAGCGCTTTATTTCTGTCCTCCCTTCAGGGAGAAGATTCTTCAGTATAAACAGTTGTTGAAAAAGTCGGGTAGGTTTAACGCTATTGTTTTAGAAAAAATATAAGCTGCTCTCTGTTACGGTTACTTAATTAATTGATCATAAACTGATGCAGCTTTTTAATAGAATTGGCACTTTTTTTGATTAGATTGCCTTTAGAAAGGATGTTTTTTGAATTTCATTTTCAGGCACCCAAAAGGAAAACCTTCTTTCCTGCCTTGCTGATCTGTTTCATAATATTGCCACTCAGAAAAGACGTGTCGGCACTATTGCTCCAAAACGTTTCATAACAAAGTTGAAAAAGGAAAATGGTTAGATCAAAAAACTTTTGACTATTGAAAAGCGTTTTCATTACTGTAGTAGGGTTGAATATGATGTGGTGCTGTAAGAATTTTAAATACAGTTTTATTCATGTATCTGTTTTAATGAGCCAAGGTTTAAGTAGCTGTTTCATATAATTTTTTGTATTATTTTGAAAATAACATGCAGCCGTCAGCTAAAGTGATTGTAATTTTTTATTTATCTTATCTTTGCGAAAGGACAGTACGTTGAAAATCCTGCCGGCATTTTATTTTATAAAGTGTTTTTTTATCAGAATGCCAGATAATGATATCTTTTCTTTTCATTTAAGAAATTTTCGACAATTACATGCAGCAAGATGCGCACGAATTCTTAAATTACCTTTTAAATACTATATCGGAAACTCTCTCTGATGAAAGAAAGAATGGTTTGAAGCCTGGTTCTGGTGGTGCAAAGAAACCAGTAGTAACTCCTTCAGGAATTCATGAAACACGGCCATCTTTTCAACCAAGGTATGAGTTTTTAGTGCTCCTATATCTTTTACGATTCGCCCAGGAAAATTAAAAATTCATTACCTTAAACAAGGTTTGCGGTTGAAACAAGATTTTGTGCTTCAAAAAGTTAGTAGGTTGTTTCGCCGTTGTTCTTTTTCAAACATTTAGTCAGTTGCAGTGGATCAAAATACGAGCCTACGTGGGTTCATGAAATATTTCAAGGAACTCTTACGAACGAAACTAGATGCCTGAACTGTGAAACGGTATTTTGTTTTATATCGTTGTGTTAACTATCCTATTTCTTCACTTTTCTATGGGTTTCATTGTTTTTATTTTCATCGCGAATTGTCGCTTCTGATGTCATCGGGATGTGGCTTTTAAGACTTTCTTATCTAGGCATCAGCAAATAGTTAAGTTGGACTTTAAAGGTGTCTAGTAAAGATGAAGATTTCCTCGATCTGAGTGTTGACGTGGAACAGAATGCTTCAATAACACATTGCCTGCGGGTTTTTTCAAACATGGAGACCCTACAAGGGGACCAAAAGTATTATTGTGAAAATTGCTGTTCTAAGCAAGAGGTAAGCTTCTGTGTTTTTAAAGCTGTAGTATGATTTTTGATCATGATTTATTCTGTTTTATATTTTTAAAACCTTTAAGGCCCAAAAACGTATGAGGATCAAAAATTTGCCTCAGATGTTGGCTTTACATCTGAAGCGCTTTAAATACGTAGACCAGCTGTGTCGACATACGAAGTTGTCATACCGTGTTTTATTTCCGTTTGAATTACGCCTTTTTAATGTGGTAATTCCAATTTTGCTTTGATACGTTTATGCCAACTATATGTTTGGAAGGAAACGAAGGTTTATTAATTGATCTAGTGAATGTTCTCGTCTTATTCTTTTTTCTATTGCCGAAAATCCACAAATCTTTGTTGAGGTTTTCTTGTTATTTTTAGAGTGACGATGCGTTAAATGCAGACCGCTTATATGATTTGTGTGCTGTAGTTGTTCACTGTGGCTCCACTCCAAATCGTGGGCATTATATTACTGTTGTAAAGTCTCATGCGTTCTGGTTGCTTTTCGATGATGATATCGTAGATGTAAGTCAAAAAATATCATATTAGATCCACATTATCAAGAGTATTTTTGAATAACACTTATTTGTAAAGAAGTTTTTCAAATTAGGTGTTTTGAGAAGTGGAGAGGAAAGAGATTCGGGTATTTTAAGACATAGGTTTCGGCATATCAAGGGTGATTAGGGTTTGGTGTTAGATGCGAAATGTGGTGCATTTAGAAATTGGAATGGATTTATTCAGGGTTTTTTAAGAGAAAAACGTAGATCCAGAGTCAGCGTAGTAAACTTTCAAAACTGTTGGACACATTTTGAAAATTGTCAAAAGTTTGTCTATTCCAAAGCGTTTGATTTCTGAAGGCGAGGTTGGGTGAGTTGGAATCTGTTGAGAAAATTTTTATTTTGGGAGGGGAGTAGTCAGCAAAGATTTTTGGGGTATCGCCTCCTAGTGCGCTTCTGCTGTACTCTCATTAGGCATTATTTTGTGCTTTATTAAGCAAAACATTAATTTCAGAAAATAGAACCATCAACATTAGAAGAATTCTTTGGACTATCAGATTGTGGTGTGCAAAAAAACAGTGAATCGGCTTATATATTATTTTACCAAGCTCGAGATACAAGCAGTAGTGAGGTTTTGAAGGGCGCCTCCTCTAGTGCTAGTGCATCTGTATAAAAATTTATAGCATTTTAATTTTTTGAAAATTTAGCGGGTTTTGCCATTTTAGACTTGTTCTGTAACAATGGTGCTTCTGATTGGCGAAAAGGAGTTAGCATGAAGTCGTATAATTTATTATTATTACTACTGT